TCCTAACTAATGAGTAATCTGTAAAACAGACGGGAGAAACCTCGATCTGACCGGGACAATGGGGACCATTCCCATTATCTAAATCAGCTTCGAGGGGTCTTGCACCTGCCAGCCCGCTCGCAGGAGGGTTTCACCGGGACTGGCGGGACCCCTCATGTACCCAATAATAATAATAATATAAATTTCACCTTTCTGAGGACGTCCTTGACGGGGAAGGTGGTGTCCAATCGGAACTTGGGCATGAGGACCTTGACCTTGGAAGAAACCTGAAGGTCATTCTCGTAGAGTGAAACGAGGGCCTCCCCATCCAAACCCCTTCTCAGGGTCTCCATACTCCCCTGACCGGTCGGAACCACGATGAGCATCCTCACCTCCCCGCCCTGATTGCGACAGACGCGAGTTCTCGAGAGGGATTCCATTCCAGAACGCCCACGGAAATCATATATCTCGCAATCGCGATGCCAGTGGCATAACCAGGATTTCGCCTGAGGCGGGGGGGGGGGGGGGGGGGGAGTTTTTTTTTTTTAATATATTGNAACCGGGGTTTCGCCGGGGGGGGGGGGGGGGGGGTAGAATTTTCTTAGTCTTCCCTCTACCTGGAGCTGATTTCAAAACTGCAGTTCAGTTCCAGTTTTAGTTTAGTTGTACGGTCGACGCCCGATGTAACGAATTTTCTCTATTACGATTTTTTTTTCAAGTTCTCGGCCGTTCGCCCATTCAGACGCACGTCGAAAAGTTTCTCTATAACGAAGTTATGTATTGCTCGGTTTTACGAAATGATGTTTTCGTCCGAAGGAAGAAAACCGTTCCGTATTACGAAGTTCAAGTCGAATCAGAGCTACTTTCTATCGCGCATTCCCGAGAAAATCTAATCTTGTATCTAAATTTAGCACGTCCCACGCACTCATTCGAAGCCTTCGACTATCTCTGGCTATTTTTGGTCAAAGGGCAGAATGTCGAGCCTGAAATTTTGCAAACATAATTCTGCAAGCCGGAGGAATCGTCCAGGAAAGCGCGCGGCTGACTTTGTTTCCGATTAATTTTATTTCTGATGAATTTGCCGTGGCATTCGTGACTCGTCCGGTTTTCGTTGCACCTACATGAGGACGCACTTCTGTGCATGCCCAATAATGTAAATACAGGCATTTTCGATGCCGTATTTTTGCAATACGACACGCGCTCAGACTTTCGCATCTTTTCACGAGTCTCCATCCCTTGGCAATAAATGACATTTCGTTGAAGAGGCCTCTTTTTTTTCCAGCGAAATGTGGGAAATTCCTTGAAGAATTTTCCTTATAGCGAAAAATTTCACCCCGTCCTTTCGAGTTCGTTATATCAAACGTCGACTCTAGTTCCATATGAGATTCTTTTGCGGTAGAAGTCGACAATAGCACCAAGGAAGACCAAAGCCAGATAAAAGTCTGCACTGAAACTAGAACTGAACTGCCTTTTTGAAGTCAGCCATATCCAGAAGTTATTTACGGGAGGGGGGGAGTTCCAGATACATTTCGACCATATCTGGGGGGGGGGCTAGAAACAAACTTGAGGGAGTTGAACCCCCCCCTCCCCCTCTCGTTACGCCACTGCACTTTGCCTTGTATTTGAGTTCGACAGCCGAGGCCTGGAGGTTGCTGAGGAAGGCAGATCGGGTTTCGAAGAAGCCAGAGGTCATCATGTCCACCATGTAGGATTGGCCGTTGTCCAGGTAGAAGGGCGAGGGTTCCGTCAGCTCCTTCGCGAATTCCGTCTGCCAGTCCGCTTTGAAGTAGATTCCGTTCACGAGGACCGCCCGGGTGAATAGGGGGTCGAAGATTCCTGCGAGTCGAGAAGCATGCTTTGAAAGTGGCTAGCTGAATAGGAAATATCCTTTAAAAGTCCTTTATAAAAATCCTTTAAAAATAGGTACTTGTCTCGCCACGACGGTGCCGGAGACGCGCAACTCGACGTACAACGATGAAAATAACGGCAAATGCGGGACTCGACTCGACGGGCCGAGTCCTGCAGTTCCGTCCTCGCCCCTTTGCATAACACAAGATAGATCGCTGACAGGTTCGTATCAACGACGTCAACGCAATACCCCGCCCGAGCTGTTTTACAATCCCTCGGAAGAGAGACGGGGAGGAAAGGAATTGCGTACATACTCCGTCGAGATTTCCTAATCGCCTTCGATCCGGAAGGGAAAGCTCGATTGCCGGATTCCCACTCTTTATCTTGCATAACCGGCTCGAAAGAATTTTGTCTGGGTTATTGCTCCATCTGTTTACTTTCAAAATTTTTTTTTTTTTTACCAGGATGTTTTTTTTCTGGTCTTTTCTCGTCTTACTGTTTTCGAGAATTTGCTTTTGTTTTCATCAAGCTGGATTCATCTTTTTCTCTCGTGGGTTAATTTCCCGTTCAGGGAATCTTTCGGTCTCATTGCTTCGAGTTCCGAGTTTGCAGCCTCGAAGGAGTTGCAATCGCAAGCCATTTTGGCAGGCCGGATTCCAGCATTTCCCAGAGAGACGAGATGCGAATCGCAGCATCTCGCGTTTCAAACCGACGAATTCCGCCGATTTCTGTAGCGCATTTCCAGCTGTCGTGAAGTGCGTCAGTCCTCGAGAAACTCCTTGCTAGTCTAAATAAAGTTTGACGTTTCACTCTGAAGAGGATTTCGACCATCAGAAACATCTGTGGATTGCGAGGCAGATAGTCGTCGGTTGATGCATTTCGATTTTCACATTTTTATCTGGGCCGAGTGGCTGGACCAGGGCCGACTGCAATCGAACGATGGTAAATGGTACCTGCATTTACTTTTGGTAATGTATATTCGAACGGTACGTGGTTGGTTCCCTTCCCGAGTTGTTGCCGAACCGAAAAAAAAGGGGAAATGAGAAATGAAAAATGAAAAATGAGCCCGAAAAAATGTTCTGACCAGGAGGAATGAGGTTCTTGATTTTGTTCTTGGTGACGCCCTCGACCCAGGCGTTGATTTTTTGCCTGGTTGGTTCGTCGAATCGGACCCATTCCGCGTCCGATGCGAAGTACTGCCTCAGTGCTTCTGCGTACTCGCGGGACTGGCGCGTCCCGTTGGACTCGTGGTACAAGTACGCCTTGTTGGCCATCTCCAACGTGTACTTCCGCCCGTTCCCTGTCTGCGACGGAAAATTCTCTGAGGAATGATTTTAATTGAGGCTCGGTTTGATTGAAAATTATTAGCATGATTTGATTTCTTGATGGGTTGCTGGGGGAACCCGTAACGAGGTTGCAAGGATCGGGGTTAACCATCAGGGTTATCGGGACTAGATACGGGTTCCTATGGAAACGCCTCTCCGAGCATAGTACGAAAGCAAATTATCCTACATTATATCGATCTGGTGAGAAAGTTCTCCGAAATAACCTGGATGGACTGCATGAGTCGGGAGAAGGCGAATTTGCCGTCGGACGTGACGGGGTCGGTGTCGTTGAAGCGAAAGAAGGAGCCGATCTCCCTGGCCGTGTTTCCCCTGGCCCCCATCCAGGCCAGGCCCAATGCCATGGTGATGCTCATGGGGGAGAAGAACAGGTTCTCGTCCGGGGCCGTGTCCGATAGGCGTACCTCGGGGGGTGGGAGAGAGGGTGTGTCGTTTTTGTCGCGGGATCTCTGGTCTTAATTCTCGTTTTTATTTGGCGTTACGGCAGTTTTAGGTTTCGTTTCTGAATTTTACGGGAAAAAGTATTGTATTCTGTTTCAGCGCTTTCTTAGTTTTATTTACGTTTTTCTTCGTACCTTTCGCTTGTCCTACATTTATCTCATTATTCTCGGAACTTAAAATCTCAAACAACGGATTTAAAAAAAAAATTAGAAAATTCAGAATACCTGGAGGAGATCCATGGGAAGCTGGACGAACGTGTCCCGAAGAGCTTCATCGTTCTGCGAAAACCGCTGACAGCTGCAGACGGCCATCCACGTGGATAGGATCACGTGGACGGTCCAGCAACGCATCTTCATCTCGCCTGACTTTTTTCTTCGACGAATCGCGTGATTCTACCCGACGGCGACGACGGATGCAGAGAGGCTCGGCGACACTGTGCGACGTGAACACTCGCGCTTTCGCGGAACTCGGAGCTATTGCGTCAATGCATAGGGCTCATAGCTGACTGCATGGTGGCCACGAGGCCGTGACGACCACTCCATTTTTTTTTATTCTTTTGTCTCTCCTCCGCCGGAAGGATGGAATTACGCGATAAGCTATTATTTTTTTTGTTTCTCTCTCGCTCTTCCCTACGAAACGATACGTCCTTCCTCCCTTTTTGTTTCTTTATGCTTTGTAGTTTCACGGTCGGAGTGGAGCCATACGCAAGCACCTGGTCCGGCGCTTTCATCTTGATACCGGCCCACGCATTGGAATATCGACTGGCATCGACTAAACATGTCGTTAAGTGACAAAAGCGGCTGGGGAGACGCCACAAAGTCTGAGTCGTTTAACCTCAACCTTCGGGGTCGAGGTTTTTTTTTAAATATAATATAATATAATATATAATTGTGCCATTATCGGGCGGTTAAACGTTTTTGGCGCGATGCTGGTCTCGTAACGTCCGGTTAACCGAGGACGTGATGTCGCCCTTTTAAGTCGCTTTAAGTCGCTCAGACAGGCATAAATTCTGGAGCAACAGCGCCAAATTACATTGTCTCAGGGAAACTCTGACTCGTGAATTTAATCACTTTATTGAAAGCGAAGAGCTTCATCATCAGTTTTATTCGTTTGTCAATTTGTTTAACGATGTCGGAATGTGCGTCAATAAAAGGGGAATTTCTGGTGAGGTGAGAAAACGTGGAACAAATTTTTTTCTCATTTCGAAATGCGAAAACAGTCATAAATTGATAATCAGCTGATAATCAGCCGAATCAGACGTTCAGTCGATAAACTTAGCAGGCTCAGATCTCGACGGAAACGGAGAAAGAAATGTCGACGTCGCGTCGACATTCCGACACATATCCGACATTCCGACACATATCCGACATTTCGACCCGACGTCGACGACCGCGTTCGCCCGCAGAAAAGAAAACCGAAGGAGCAAAAGATAATATCTTCTCGAGCGAGAAAAAAGCGAGCAGTCGAGAAAAGGCCGAAAATAGATCGGACGTCAAAAAGGAAATTGCATGCCACTTTTGGCAGCGCAATTCTCTCCCGGCGGCGGGCCGATGCGTTTCTCATGATGGAATTTGTTAAGTATCGAGATAAAACCGTTTGGTAACGCGTCACTTTTTACCGTTACCATCGGTTTAGCTTCTCGGTGTCTATCGGTCTTAAGGTCGCGTCGAAGAGATGCAAGCGGTATAAATTGATTAATTAATTGACGAACTGATTAATATTGGTAATTGTGGACCCATCGACTCCGAGTATCGGCGGAAACGATCGCGGAAACCCGAGTCGCCATGAACATCGACCGCGAACTTCGCCTGTCGATCCCGCGAATTTCCGCCTCTGAATCCGCCAGAGTCTCATCGCATCCGATGAAGATTCCCGTGCGCATTTCTTTTTTTTTTTAAAGTTAGAAGAAAAAAAAATCATTTCCAATTCAGAACGCTTTTGAAAGAAGAGCAATCTCTATTATCTCTATTATCTCAATTAGAAGTTCAGACCAAAGATTGAAATTGGTTCAAATTTTCTCTATTAGGAGGCTATAAGCTGTTCCGGTTTCGCTAATGAGTACCTCTGAGGTACATATTTAGGTAGTTATTAATATAATATTAGGTAGGTGGCTTTCTAGCTCGAGTACTTTTAGTTTTAGAGTTAGTTTTAGAGAAAGTACGTGCTCAGAATCTCGGGGGCGACGGGATGCTGGGCTGCTTCATCTCCGGGCCTGCACGATGCAACGTTTCCGTTCGTACCGTCGGCGTCTTTCATCCGGCCGAGGGTCTGACCGCTGGTTTACCAGGAGGTTTAGCAAGGCTTGTGACTTGGCACGATGTTTTTTGCCGGGCGGTCGGACGTCGAGGACTGTAAATTTGCATGGGTCGTCGGGGTTTTGACGGTATCCTGTGTATTGGTTAGGCGTGAATAAATTTAAATTGGAATTAATTAATTTTGGGGGCAAGGATGAATTTAATTGAATTCATCCGGCGTACTTGGTTGGCTTCGCGACATAGCTAGCATTAGTTAAAGTACTTCACCACGATTCCAATTTTGAAGCGTCTGATGCAACGATGACTTTCCGGCCTTCGAGCCACATTTCGCGTCTACGCGTTCCACCGAGGTGCGATTCTCGCCCATCGCCGAAAACCGGAGCGTTCTCCTTTCCGTACCGTCAGTTCCCCTTTCCCCTCCCTCTTCGACTAATTTCTCATCCGAACCGACGAGATTGCGTTTCCAGTGCCACTCCCAGATAGACAATGGGAAGGATCTTATCGAAATTGAGCCGTCGTCTCGAGGAGTTCGCGGAGAGGACGACCCGTCGGGTCGCGGTCCGAGTCGAATCGGTCCCACGGCGATCGATCCGAGCCGGTTTCCGGCTCCGAGTCCTTTCGATACGGGGAGGAGAGGAAATGGTGCCGGATGACTCCTCGTGTGTCATCTGTCAGCCGTCGGTCCTCTTCGAGGAAGGGATTGGACTCGGATGCGGGTCTGTTTGTCGTTTGAGGGGGGGCGGTAACCTCGGTTGAATAATGAATGGGTTTTCTGGGGGTGGAGCCTTTGAGAAAATATTTGTTTTTTTTTTTTTGGTAATCAAATATGAATCAGGTTATC